ACTACGACTGAGGCTCTCGCTGAGCTTGCCCGACACCCCCGCCGTGGACGAATTCAATCTCGCGATGCTGACACAGGAACAGCTTGACCGTCTCATGAGCCAACTCGAAAATTCGGCACTTGAAGTCGCGACGCTTACAGCGGAACTTGACGGCGCCCGCTGGCAATCAGCAACGAGTGTACCTACACCAACACAGACACCTGCAAATGCACCTACACAAACGGATGAACCAATTGTCATCTCTTCCGGCACACCGTCACAACACGATAGCGTGGGAGAACGCTCAGGCGCAGCCAGTGATGGCGCCGCCCAATCAATGCCTGGCATGGCGAGAGCCAGGTCCGTTCCGATCGTAAACATGCCTCGCGGGGGACGTCGCCACGTTGAATTTACGGCGTCTGCGGGCAACGAAGAACTCAACGAGCCGATGCCACTCAAACCGCAGCGCCCGCTCTGTTTCGATCCCGGCCAGCGCGGAGGTCCAACAGTTTAGTCGTGGGTCTTCTTCAACGCGAATTATGTCAAGTCGAATGCAGCGAAGATTCACTATGCTGTTTTGCTGCTGAGGGGCTCCGCCATGGACTAGTGGGGAGTCATTGTGACGTCGCCACGTGCCTACGAGCCGCCGTCGCAACAGGGAGGGCCCACGGATCCAGCCGCCACCTGGAGTTCGTTCTGCAAAACCGCCCAGTACAGCACATGGGATGCGTGGTGTGCAAGGCTTTGGACGCGCTTCGAGCCGATCGCGGCTTCTATTTTAGCTCGTCAGAAACTGCATACTTGGCGACAGCTCGAGTCGGTCCAAGACTACACCAACGGTTTTTTCGCTCTCTGCGAGCAAGTCGGCTACATGCACAAGGCGGAGCGGGTGGACCGTTATGTCAGCGGATTGAAGCCTGACATCTCGCACGAGATTGTGCTATGAGGGTTATCCAACTTCAACAAAATTCTCGTGCTCGCGGAGAAAAAAGACATCCTACGCCGACCGAGACCAGGGTCCTATTACGTACATTGTCCTCGGGGACCGATCGAGCACGCCGTTGCGGCGAATGTAGCTGTTGCGCCATTCAAAAGGCGCTGCTTTGCTTGCAATAGGCCAAGCCATCACAAGAGCGAATGCCCAGAGGAGCAGAGACGCCGCAGAGCAGAGCAGTGGGGGTAGTCTTAGAGGCAGGGAAGCGCCAGCAGTCAGTAGAGAACGGGCCAACTACTGACAAGACAACCTGCTCGCTCAACCTCACTGACCCTCACCGAGTCACAGTACCGATTCACGCCATCGATCGGGCTCGAATGAATAAGGAGGGTATAGCGACGGATTGCCCAATACTGATTAACGGGAAAATACAGGGGTCAATAGTGACGATTTTTATCGATGGAGGAGCAAGCCACAGCTTAGTTAATACCGCCATCGCACGGAAACTGCAGGTGACACTTAGTCGCTGTTTACAGGGGATCAACGCACGTTTAGTTGACGGCACGCCACTGACAATAAGGGAGAAAGTGGAGAGGGTGAAAGTTCGCTGCGGAGGGAACTTCGGGTTTACACAGGAAAGCTCGCGACGACATTGGATGGGCACGACATTTTACTGGGACTTGATTGGCTGCAACGTTTCAATCCGCGAATCGACTGGACGACGGGTAGCTGCACTGTGCGAAGTAGCAATAACTGGATCAAATTACCTCGCTAGCAGAAATCCGAGTCTTCGACGGTCCACGTCAACGCCATCACGATGAAACGGGCTATCGCCGTTGGAGCTGACGTGTACGCAGTGGATATCACATTGGTTTGGGAAGCAGAGCAGCCAAGTGATTTTCAGAAACTGCTGGTAGCCGTATTGCCCGAGCTATAGAAGTTGTTGAAACGGTACCCGGTGATTTTTCCGGATGACTTACCGAAGGGACTGCCACCTCAGCGGGCACACGATCACCGAATAGAGTTAGAACCAGGGGCACAACCAACTATACGGCGACGGTTAAGACTGACACAGCTCAAGCTCAACGAACTGAGGAAGTAGCTCGATTACCTGTTAGAGAAAATAATCATCTGGCCGAGCTCGTCACCGTTCGCCGCACCAATACTGTTAAAAAAAAAATGACGGAGGGTTTCGCATGTGCATCGACTGCAGAGCATTGAACATGGTAACAGTCAAATCGCGGTACCCCATTCCCCACGCCGATGAACTGATAGATCAACTGCGAACAGCACGAGTCTTTTCGAAAATAGATTTACGGGGGGGGGGGGGGGGGGGGGGGGGGGGTGAACCTTCAGATTCGAGTCGAACCATCGGACTGCACCAAGACAACATTTAGAACAGGGTACGGGTCATTCGAGTACATTCTGATGCCATTCGGGCTAACCAGCGCACCAGCGACATTTCAGATGACCATGAACGAGACATTTAGGCCACTCTTAGATAAATGCGTGATAGTTTACCTCGACGCCATCCTTTAGCAGCACTTAGCAGACCTGGAAGCAATTTTTTTAAAATTTTAGACGAGCACCGACTACTGACCAAGGGTTCCAAGTGCGAGTTTTTACAGGATAGGTTAGAATTTTTTGGGCACATGATTTCGGCGGCTGGAGTCGAGATCGACCCAAAGAAGCTGGACACGGTAAAAGCATGGCATCCCCCGACGAATATCAGCGGTGACCAGCGCGGACGGGACAGTACGAATAGACCAAAAATCACTACAGTACCTCCGCGCACAGCCCCACCTCAACCCACGATAGATTCGCTGGCCCGATTTCCTCGAGTCAAAATTCCACTACACGGTCACCTACAAAAAGGGGGCATCCAACATCGCCGACGCACTGACCCGCCCCACTGCCCAAATTCACGCCATGCTACTCGCCCAGACCAGCCCACTACTTACAGTACTATTTACCCACGGTTTTCAAACAGACCCCTTTTTCACCGGAGGCAACTCGCAGCAGTTCGCAGCAGCAAAATGGATTTATTACGTAAAAGCCGGCACCGACCGCATCTCGGTACCGGGCTACACTTTACTAAGGGAGCTGTTACTACAGAAGGCACACGACGGGGTTACCCTAAGACATTTCGGAGTAGAGAAAACACAGCAGCAGCTGCAGATGCTGACCGACGTGCAACAACACGTGGCATTGTGTCCCACCTACCAACTCATGAAATCATCACGGAAACGGCCGGCAAGACAGTTGCAGCCGATACTACCCCCAGAGCGTGCTTGGCAGCAGGTGACGATGGACTTCATCATGGGGTTACTGGCTGGAGCAAGTGGGAATAACGTGATCCCGGTTGTCGTCGATCGGTTGACAAAAATGACACATTTCACAGCCTGCAAGAAATCAATCACAGCCAAAGAAACATCCCGCCTCTTCATCTCCACCGTCATTCGATTGCATGGGATACCAACATTGATCATCAACTTCTGGCGGCAGTCCGGCACGTGACTACAGTTCAGTTCCTCGTACCACCCCGAGACCGATGGACAGTCAGATCGGACAAATCAGACCATGAAACAGCTCATCCGAGCCACATGCGACGACCCAACAACGTAGGAACAGCAACTGCCGCTCATCGAGTTCGCATACAACAACTCGCCATCCGCCACGACCCAACAGTCACCGTGTTACCTGAAATACGCACAAGACCCTACAGTACCCATGAACCTGAATCCCGACAACCCGGTACCACGCGCACAACAGTTCGCAGAAATTTTACAAGCAGCACGGACTCGAGCGGCAGACGCAATAAAAAAATCAAACATCATCACTAAGCGCAACGCCGACCGCCACCGCCGACCCGTCACTTACCAGCCCGACGACCTTGTTTTACTCGACACCCAGAACCTCCGCCTGCCCATTACCCCAAAACTCCGCCCTCAATATTGTGGGCCATTTCGGATCAGCCACATGATCACCCCCGTTACCGCCCACCTCCTCCTCCCTGCTGACTAGTACGTCAGCCTGTCATTCCACGCCAGCCTCCTCCGCCCATAAGTCCCATCCACCAGCCAACTGCCTCGCAATTGCCCAACCAACATGACACGACCGCCAACAGAGCCAATTATCACACCCAAAAAAAATATTGAGCCACGGGAGTTCGTGACCCACGTGGAGCCCGCAGAATCGAATTCCTGATCCGCTGGAGAGACAGCAGGCTCACTGAAGACAACTACATTCCCCTACACATAATCGAAAACCACCCTGTCCTCACCGAGTACCTGCGCAGCTGACATTTTCGGGATGTACACGCGCTTTCGTAAGGAGGACCTCCTTAGGGGGGGGGGGGGGGGGGGGGGTAGTGTAAGGAAAAATCATTTTCCTTACTTCGCGTCCCTGCTCAGCGTGTATACCACTGTTCCCGTCAACAGCACCCAACAGTAAGCCGTTATCACTCGCGACACTCGCCTCGACCACTGTTCCTGCCACTGTTCACGACGCGACCCAACCTCACGGTTTGGTTGGTAACCCACGCTCTGGACCTCCGCCTCGACAATTCCCAACCTCGGCGCTAGGCCCATCACGCACCCCATTTTCATGCATTACCGTTACCACTGTAGCTTTGCTATATATTCTTCACTAATGCCTTCGCTCATTGTATTGTTTTGCTTTGATAGTGCAATTTTTACTCGCTCGCTCAATTACACTTGTAACACTCACTGATAATATGCCTTGAACCAACTGACAGCGTTTTAAGGAAAAAAAAAAAGAAACTTGTTTTTGAGGGTACTTACTGGCTTGAATGTGTATAACGTTCCCTGCTACACATCCATCATTGATTCCCCGTCTTTTCCTTACCCTTGGGCTGACACGTGAGCTTGTGCGAGGGCCAGTGGGCCTTTTGGCACTCCTTGATGCAATAGGCAGCCTTGCCACACCGCGGGGAGGCACAGCCGCGCAGGCATCCCTTGCCTTTTCGCGTCTCAGCTCCAAACCTCTCACAAGGGGCAGCACCAGCAGCAACAACAGCATGGGGGGCAGCGGCAGCACCGCCAGCAGCTGCAGTACGGGCGTCCACCTAGGCCTGGGGGCAGTAGCTGGTCTCCCCCAGCAACATCTCCCTCACACACGCAGAGGATCCCCCCCCCCCTCCCGGCCACGGCTCCAGGTATGATGCCACTGCCTTCCCCCTCCATCCCTCCACATTCCCCGTGCCCCCAATCGCACCACTGGCACCAGGGTCACCAGCAGCAATGACCATGGAAATCAGAGCTTCCTTCCTTGCAGCCGCAATAGCCACATTGTCCCTCATGGCACCTCATGCCCGCACAGCACTCATCCAACACCTCCTCCACCAGCCGTGCTCCCTTAGGAGCCGCCCGCAGCAGCGTCGAGCCATGCTCCTCCAAAGCTGGCCATGCATTCCCAGCCGCCATGCGCCAGCTGTTCACCTCCTCCCACATCCTCCACTCCTCCTCCCCCTGCTGCTACTGCTGCTGCCTCGCCCTCCCCGCATGCACGCCCCCTTCCTGCCCTACAGGCTCAAGAATGGCATCAAACCTTTCCTCTTGGGCAATGACCTGTGTGCCAAAGAAGATCAGCAGAAGGTTATGCTCCTCCATCACGCCTTCAAGCAGCGCCACCACCAGCGAGTCCGGAACCACCGCAGGGAGCGGCGCCACGCCCAGATTCTCCAGTAGGCTTCTGAAGCGGGCGGAGCAGGTCAGGAGGAGCGAGAGGAGGCAGCGCAGCAGCGCGGACGACGGGCGGTAGGCGAAGGAGGCCACAAGAGACGTGAGCTTCATGACCAGGTAATACGTGTCGATGCAGCGGTTACAGCGGGTGCAAGCAGGTGCACGCAAAATGTTGCATGCGATCATCTCTATCAGGATATCAACATGGATTCTGGACCGTAGGATCGGCTTTAACCTACCACGAGCAAACGGCCCCAGAGCAAGAGCAGCCCACGCTCGATCCCCAAGGCCCAAGCGGCCAGCCCAGGAGGTGATAGCGTGGGCCAGAGGGCCGTTCCTGCCCTCCCTTGCCAGCCTTGCAGGCGCGAACCTTCTCAGGAACTCCTCCACGTGGTGGCCCAGTGTGGGGAAGTAGGGGCCGCTTGTGTTCTCCTCCAGAGTGTACCCGCTACCACGGTTGGTGTGCGAAGACGAAGAGGGCAGGTTCAGCTCCCTGACGTTGTGCTCCTTCTTTACCTCCTTCTTGTGCACCTCATCACCCTGAAACGCCTCCACGTGCAACGTCTTAATCCCCAATGTCTTAAACCCAAGAGCCGCAAGTGTAGTCCTCAGTGTGTCGTGCCACTCACTGGGCGCCTGGCGGAGACCGTAGACTGGCCGCCGGAGGCTCCACTGGGTGCCAGGGGGAAACGACCCAGTGAAGCAAGGTGGGCGGCGCAGCCAGATCTCCTCGTGCAGGCTGCCCTGCAGGAAAGCTGTGCTGAAGTCAAGAGAGTGAAGCTCGTAGTCGCGCTGAGCGGCTATGTGCAGCAGCACCCGAAGAGTGGTCATCTTCAGGGTGGGAGAGAAGGTCTGAAAGAGTCAACTCCTTGCCACTGTCTGAAGCCTCGAGCCATGTAACGCGCCATGAAGACAGGCGGAGAACCCGGCGGCCGCTTCACCCTGAAAATCCACATGCCACTGACGATGTTCGCCCCAGGTGGGGGAACCTCGTCAACGTAGGTGCATGTGGACTTCCAAGAACCCATCTCTGCGTCCATGGCTAACTACCACTGTGAGGAGTAGGGACCCTCGATCGCCTCAGCGTACGATCGAGGAGTCGGGATATCTGGTGCATCCGGGTCTCCCTCAGGGGCAATCAGCGTGGACACGAGATGAGGCAAAGCAGCAGCAAAACACTGGAACTCCTCCTGCCTGTCCTCAAGGACGTCCGTGCTAAGAGCACACTCACCCCCGACGAACGGAGGACAGACAGACTCAGACTCAGCGACAAGACTAGCAGCGTAGTCTAGACGACAGCGAGCAGCAAAGTCGACAAGCTCAGCAACTAAGGCAGACGCTGTAGTGGACTCAAAGGAAGGGTCAGTGACAACAGTGGCCAGGAGATGGTGACAGTAGGACTGGCAGCACGAAGAGAGTCAGACTTCGGGTCAGCAAGAACAGGAAGAGAGGACTCTGGAGGAGACGGCATCGGGACACGCAGAGGAGCAATGGAAGGACGCAGTGCCATCTGGTGTGTGCCTGGGACCGTAGGAGGACGCGGACGTGGAGCACGACTACTAGTGCGAGCATCACGAACAGGCGATGCAGGACAAGACGCAGGCTCACGACGCTCTGCAAGACCTCCAGTAGGACCAGTGTAGGGAGAAGGAGTAGGTAGGGGGGAGGCGGGCTGTAACTGTGACCGAGACTGGACAGGCTGTGAACACTCTAAGGGAGGAGCAGGACCAGTAGAGGGCGGTAGGCCAAGAACCTGCTCAAGGAGCGGAATGAAGTACGCCCGCGGCCGTGCAGCGCCTCCAGAACCAGCAAGGACAGCACCAGCACCCCCAGCGGCAGCACCAGCGCCAGCAGCACCTCTAGCTCCAACAGCGGTAACTCCAGCACCCTCAGAAGCACCAGCGCTAGCAGCACCACCAGCGCCAACACCCCCAGCAGCTCCAGCTCCAGCAGCTCTAGCAGCACCAACTCCAGCAGCTCCAGCAGCACTTGCTCCAGCAGCTCCAGCAGCACCAACAACAGGACCAACTCCAGCAGCCCCAGCAGCACCCCCAGTCCCAGCCGTTCCAGTACCGCCAGTACGAGCACCTCCAGGGCCAGTGGCTTCAGTAACTCCAGTGCCGACCCCAGGGTCAGCAGTAACAGCAGCACCTCCAGCTCCAGCAGCACGGCTCCAGCGCCGGGCAAACCACTCGCGCAGCTCTTGTGGAGAGGGTAGCTCCTGCCTCGACGAAGCACCCGAAGGTGCCCTAAACCCAGCACCGCCAGAGGCCACACGAGCAGACCCAGCACCCCCAGGCTCTGCACCCCCGGGCTCAGTACCCCCAGGCTCCGTACCCCCAGGCTCCGCACCCCCAGGCCCAGCACCCCGAGGCTCCGCACCCCCAGGCTCCGTACCCCCAGGCTCAGCACCCCTAGACTCAGCACCAGAGTCAACAGCTACCTCGACAGGCTCGACTGCGTCTACCTGGGACACACTTGACAGGGCAGGACCTTGAGGGGGGAGGGGGTCTACCGGGGGGGGACCTGGCGCAAGGAAGAGCGGCGGCGGGGGGAGGGGCGCAGTGCGGTAGGGGAAGAGACGGAAGTAAGGCACCGACTCGTCAAAGGTGACGTCCTGGGAGGACAGAACACGGCGCGAGGTGGGGTGGTAAAACTGCCAACCAGGCGCGTTATGGGGGAAGCCAAAGAAGACGCAGGGAACAGCACAGGGGGACAGCTTGTCCGCAGACAAGTCGCGGACAAACGCCCGAGATCCCCAGACACGAAACGCAGACGCATCGCCAACCTTCACGGTCCACCGCAAGGTGGGGGAGGTCTCTGGCAAGGAGACCCGGGGCTGAAGGTTGATCTGATGCGCCGCGTAGTGAACCGCAAACGGCCACAGAAAATGGGGAGCAGCCGCATGGATCATGGACGTACGAGCGACGTCCATGACCATGCCAATGCGGCGCTCAGCAATCCCATTTTGCTGTGGAGAGGCCGGAAGCGTGAACGTCTGGCGGATGCCCTGTGCACGACAGAAGGCTCCCAGACAAGCAGAGGAAAACTCTCCGCCTCTGTCAGAGTGCAGACGCAGAACAGGAAAGTCCGAGCCGAAACTCTCTCTGAGCTGGAGACGAGCTGCGCGGATCCAGTCGATCAACACCTCAGTGACGTCACCCTTGCTGTGCAAGGGGAAGACTGTGGTGTAACGCGAGTAGTCGTCAACCACCAACAGGAAGTAACGCTCGTGACCCTGGCCACGGATGCGGGCGGGGCCCCACACGTCCATGTGAAGAGTCTGCAGCGGAGCCTCTGTCGGAGGAAACTCGGAGGAGTGAGGGGCGGCGCGCTGTCGCCCCTCGACGCAGGGAACACAGGTAGGGGCAGGCCCCGGAGGGAGGGGAGGGAGGGACCGGGGGAGACCAGAGACAAGGACACGGGAGGCCATGCCTCGGAGACGAGGCAGGGAGGGGTGACCAAGGCGGTGGTGCCAGAGGAGAGTCTGGTGGGACAGGAGACGACACGAGCAGGGAGCAGACTCAGGACCAGACCTGGACGCTGCAGTAAACACCTGACCCGACGCAGCTACCTGACCAGACTCAGCAACCGAAGGAGAATCAGTAGTCAGTGTGTACAGGCTCGACCCCGGCTGACGGGTAAACGTGGCCAAGTGTCGGCCCGTCCGAGCACACGTACAGTGGGTCATCTGCTGACTCGCAGGAGTGAACTGGTCAACCCCCCCATCCCGCAGATCAGCACCACTCACCAATTTCGTAGAGAACGAGGGGAGGTAGAGACCTGACAGGATGCCAGAGGGGGCTACCGGACACGGCAAGACAGTGGAGAAGTGGGCAAGGACAGGACCCCCAGAGGGGTCCGCCAGGGAGACCACAACTGGCCGACTAAGCGGCGTAAGCGTGGTGCGGTCTTGAAAGAAGGAGCGGGAAGCACCCGAGTCAAGGGTGAAGGTGTGTAAGGCCTGAGCCGACGTGGTACCTGAGAGAGCAGACTCACCAGCACCTGGGGCAGCAGACGCACTAGCACCTAGAGCAGCAGCCTCACCAGCACCTAGAGTAGCAGCCTCAATGCCCGGGTCAGGCGGAACACACAAGTAACAGTCACCCTCATCACTAGTAGGCAATGCATACATGGCAGTGAGGATAGCATCATAGTCAAGAGTATAGATATCTACCCGCAGCCTAAGTAGCTCCACCCATTCGGGGAGCTCAGCCGCGTCGCCAAACTCCGTACGCTAGGCGTCGCTCAGACGGGCAAAGCAGCGGGACTCTGTGTGACCAAACGTCCCGCAAGGCTGACCAGTCCGAGCACCAGTGCGAATGACGTACGGACAGCGAGCAGTACCCCGTGACCCGCCACGCTGAGCGTACCACTCACGAAGCTACTGGGGTGAAAGGACCGCGCAGGGACGACGCTGCAGCTGCACGTGGCCACTACAATCAGCTACCGAACTACTCACTCCAGGACGACTCCCACTACGGCCACCCCGACAACCCCAAGTAGCGTACCACTCACGAAGCTGCTGGGGCGTGAGGGACTCACGCGGACGTCGCTGGAGCAGCATCTGGCCACCGGCAGGAGCAGCAGGAGCCGTGGTAGCCGCAGTAGTAGCAGCAGTAGCAATAGCAGTAGTCGCAGCGCTGCCACCCCTATAACCCCAACTAGCGTACCACTCATGAAGCTGTTGGGGGGTGAGGGACTCACGCGGACGGCGCTGGAGCTGCATCTGGCCACGCCAGGAGCAGCAGTAGCAGTAGAAAGAGCAGTAGCAGCAAGAGCAGCAGTAACAGCAGTACGGGCAGGGCCGTGCTCACCAGTGGCGAGAAAGGCAGGCGTACGACGGCGGCAACAGCGAGGCCGCTACCATTGTAGGGCGAGGGCTCCGCGGCAGTTGCAGGGGCAGCTGCTCCAGGGTCGGCAGTTGTAGGGGCGGCTGCTCCAATGGCGGCTGCTGCAAGGGCGGCTGCTCCAGGGGCGGCTGCTGCAGGGTGCTCCAGGGGCGGCTGCTCCAGGGGCGGCTGCTGCAGGGGCGGCTGCTCCAGGGGCGGCTGCTGCAGAGGTGGCTGCTCCAGGGGCGGCTGCTGCAGTGGCGGCTGCTCCTGGGGCGGCTGCTCCAGGGGCGGCTGCTCCAGGGGCGGCTGCTGCAGGGGAGCCTGCTCCAGGGGCGGCTTCTGCAGTGGCGG